TCCTCTCAAACAATGTATTTTTTAACATGTTTAGGTATACACAGCAATGTGCTGCTTCCCTATTCTGTATGAAGGACCACACAGTGTAGATCAAAAACCAGCTACAAGCTCATTCAACATCCTCACCTCACAGGATGGCCAGTCATACATGTAATCAGGAGAGAACAAAATACTTAAGGCTGATCTATTAGCCTCCACTGGCAAAATCTGGGTGCAGCACAAGAATATCTTCCAATATTCCTGAGTGTATGAAGTAATTACAGAGCTCAAAGTACCCTATACAATTTGGTATGAAGTCACTGATAACAGGGCAATCACAGATATAGTGTTGGAGAGTATGTTCTCTCAAGTAGGACTGAAAACAGATGTTTTTTTTTTCCACTAAGAGGGCTATAAACCCATGGAACCGCCTACCCGCTGAATCCGTAAATGCCAAATTCTAGCTAAAAATATCATTAAGGCAATTGACGAGCCCTTTAACAAGCCGCCAGCTTTCTGTCCTCCTTGAGGCCACTAGATAGTTAGTGGCCCTTGGGTAAATTCAGTAAATATATACAATAATTGTCAGCGCATCTTCCGAGCAACAAAGACAGCTACACAGTAACTCTTAGTATTACGTAGGTAAACAACAAATGTAACATGTTTGTTTAATACAATGTCGATGCTGGCTGTAGAAGTTGAAAAAACATTGTTTTACTTCGAAATATAATAATTTTATAAGAAAATTCGAGGTAAATAGGAGGCAGTAGAGCTCCGATAAGCCAGCGCTAAATCTTCAATATGAAGAATGTTGCTGCTCTCTGATTGGCCAAACGAAACACAGTAGTGACCTCTAGCGGCATGCTGGTGAACCAACAAATTTCTTTCTAAGTGGACGTACGTGAATTGCACCTAAGAATTTCTTAGGGCATACTTAGGAACCTTCGTAGCCTTCTTACGAAGAAATACATGGAGCTTCGTGAATCTAGGTCCTGGCGTCCAACCTCGGAGAGTAGACAAAAAAGCAGAAAGACAGACATTTTATTTTACTGATATCGGTTATAATTATTATTATTATTAATCACACAATTAAATCACACAAACGTGTTGTATAACAATGAGAAAATCAGTAGGAGCCATGATGAGGATTCGAACCCACTCACTTTGTACTCCCACGCTAGCGCCCTAGACCACCACACCACAACATGGTCAAAAGCAATGGTATCTGGGATTCCAGTAAATCCTCTAGGATTCCTGAGGCTTACAATCAGGGATTTAAGTATTGACTCCATGCACTGTGGCTAATGGTCCAGTAGTTCTCAATGATGTAACAATGATTTTCTCACTGTTAAATCACTTAAATGTGATTTTATTATCCTCAACAAGTTGTCCTTGCGAGGGTTGAGCTTCGGCTCTTTGGTCCCGCCTCATAATTTTATTATATCTCTTAAATAGAGAATTATTTAATATATAGCACTAAGTTTCTCAATACAATATTTACTAATTGCTAACCCAGAATACGGTAGGTTATACATTGACTAGTGTTTATTGATAACCTAGTCCCGTATCACCATTTGACTAGTTGAACTACTTATTGTTCATCCTAGTCCCATTATTACCATAGTCTAGTTGTACTACATTGAACAACCTAGCACCATTAATGAGTGATACAGCCCTATTTTGGGTGTAATTAGATACCAGCTCGAGTTGAGTTGTGTATATATAATAATTTACTTATAATCATTGCGCATTTTGAGCGATTAATTAGTGTCTATACCATCCTAGGGTGATAACTGAGGAGCTAACCTAAAGGTACTTCCAGTGACACTGGTTTATCACTCAAATCATTAATGTGTATGATTATATATATATATATATATATATATATATATATATATATATATATATATATATATATATATGTCGTACCTAGTAGCCAGAACTCACTTCTCAGCCTACTATGCATGGCCCGATTTGCTCAATAAGCCAAGTTTTCATGAATTAATTGTTTTTCGATTACCTAACCTACCTAACCCAACCTAACCTAACTTTTTCGGCTACCTAACCTAACCTAACCTATAAAGATAGGTTAGGTTAGGTTAGGTAGGGTTGGTTAGGTTCGGTCATATATCTGCGTTAATTTTAACTCCAATAAAAAAAATTGACCTCATGCATAATGAAATGGGTAGCTTTATCATTTCATAAGAAAAAAATTTGAGAAAATATATTAATTCAGGAAAACTTGGCTTATTAGGCAAATCGGGCCTTGCATAGTAGGCTGAAAAGTGTGTTCTGGCTACTAGGTACGACATATATATATATATATATATATATATATATATATATATATATATATATATATATATATATATATATATATATATATACATAATGTGTATTAATTCTAAGTGCCATCCTCTAAAAATAGGAAGGATTATAGCCTAATGATTACAGAAATTTTCCCTAGCCTACCATCAGTGTTTGCTCAAAATTTATGAGCCAGTACTATCCAATTAACAAGTCACCATGACTAATCCTCAGAAAGCAAAACGTGCTTTAACAGCACGTTAATGTCAACTGACAATAGATCTCAACCAATAACTCTTACACCAAGCTGGAGAAAATCTGACTATGCAGCAGAATCCTTCAAGCCTACTGTTACTAGTTCACCCAAACCGTTAACTTTCCAGTGTGCAGTAGGCTGGGGGGCATGTATGTTCTGCAAAAGGAAACATTCAACATAGGGTTGTGCCAATTATCCAGACAGAGACACTCGTATTAAGCGACTCCAGGAATTCGGGAGATGTGCAAAGTGTCTCAAGTCACACAACATAGATCATTGTGATCTATGTTGTGTGACCCAATTCTACACCTGCAACAGGTGTAGAAGAAGTAAGCAACATGAAGAACTGTGCAAGCATACGAAATTAACATATTCCAGGAAGGTAGCATTCCCCCCACAGTACAGTACTGCAAGGTGCAACAAACAATTAGTGTCCAATTGGCAAAGTCCAAAGGTAATACGACTTTGCCTACTGCCCAAAATACCATCCAGAATAAAAGGGCCAAGTTCCATACACGAGGGTTGTTTGACCAAGGGTCCCAGAGAACATATGTCACTAAAAAGTTGTCAGATGAACTATAATTAAGGCCTGTAGCCCAGATGACAATCAATATCTCAGGGTTTCTACAGATACAGGACCTCAAGTCTACCTGGTGGTACAACCAACAGTACGATTATTCAGCTACGTCTGTCAAGTACAAGCCATTGTGGTGGACAAAATTTCAGCAGACGTACAAGTTGTGGGAACCGACCTGTGAGATTTATATTTATTTAATTTATATGAATTTAAATAGAATTTATATTTACGATAATTTATATATTTCGATAGCAATTTGTATGATGTTAAGTGGACTGTATTTCAGCAATAATCTCACAAATCGATCCACTACACATTAGGGGGGGGGGGTTTATATTGAATTTATATATATGCAGCCAATCAAACTACAGTATTAAACTACATATATTGTTAAACATTGAAGAGGTTCCTTATCTTATTGTACAGCAGGCCTTAGTCCACCAGGTATAACCAGGATGTAGTCACCAAATTTTCCCCGTGTGAGGTAGCTTCCATCACCCTAGTAATGGATACACAAAGCATGCTTCCTTGTCTTGACCTGTCAAAAGGGCGCTGGCTATGAAGCCAGAATCCTAATATATGACAGCTATATCAGAGAAAACACTGTACATTGAACCATAAAGACCAAGGCTTAATTACCTTTAGTATGAGGCGATTTCGTATTCTAACCGGCTCACCCTATCTACTGACATTAATGGCCAAAAATGATTAGATAAATGGGTTTCGGCAGAACACTTAGCTTGTATTTGTTGACAGCGTGTTGATAATGGTACACCTTTGGTTTCCATAACACTTCGTCCAAGAGAAATTAACAGGAGCCGAATTTGCTCCAGTGCGCCTCGCTGGTCTTAAAACAATAACAATGGCTGACCACTCCCTCACAACTGACGCTACTGGCCTATTTGTCCAGATGTCAGTAAGTTATAGAAGGGTCACATTTACTCTATTTTAATATTGATAATTAAGTTAATTTATATGAGATGTTTTTATGATGGTAAAGTCCAAAGACTAATGTATTTAAGAATAATTCCCAGCAGAATAGCCGGTGAATTTATAATAGTATGTGGCAATGATATCTCGTTTTCTATAGATGGAAAACTCCACTACAAGCTACACTTCTATGGATAACTTGTTTATACAATGCAGCAATATTATCTGCAATTGTATTGATATTAGTAATGGTGTCGGATTTTCCGACACAAGTACAAGGTCTGAGAGCAACCGCCAAATTCCTGAGAAATAGAGGAACAAAATAGGCAGATAATATTAAGTCTGATCACCTCACCGACTTTGGTATCCTTGTAGGTACAGACTACTACCATCGATTCATCAGTAGCCCTACTAAACATCAGGGCATAACCATGCTAAATTCTGCAGGAGGCAAATTACTCTCAGGCCCAGTATTAAACTTGAGGAGACCTAAACCTCAGATAAACCGTACCAGTAGAAATCTAATTTTGTCAGCTGATTATATTTCTCCAGTAGCATTAAACTAAAAGATTACACCTAACTACAGCAACAGAGGTTGATCTTAATATCATCATTTAAAGCTGAAGATGAGTTCATGAGTCCTCAGTGTCAAATCAGTGAACAGTAGCCTAAACAGCCACAAGTCACTGCGACCAATGTTACTGAACCCACTGCAGTCTCAGAACTATACTTGACTTTAATGATGGAGTATTCAATCTTCTGAATCAACTAACTAAATTAAACCCAAATTTGTCAGCCAAATAAACTCCAGCAAATAAGCACAAGGAAGCTTGACTGACTATATAAATCTGACGACTGATTTTGATACATTTATTATTTAATCAAGATGAATTCCATGGGCCTCAGTGTATATATATATATATCAGTGACCAGTTACTTTGATTCACTTACTTTGCCTTTGTGGCCAAGGGATCCTGTACCCAACCCCAACACAGGAATATGTGATCCTGAACTGAGAGGAAGTGTTGGAATTTTCGTCATGGCGGCAGCTGCCCTGTGCATCACCCTGGTAACAAATATACAGGCAAGATGTTGATCACAAAATATCACCAACGATCCATTCTAAAATAAATATTATTAAAGTTAAAATTTCAGTTAATTATACACAAGTGAGAGTGAAACTTCTTACGTGGATGTCAGTTAATATACCATCGAAATCTATAAGATAGGAAATATATCTCCCTGTACAAGGAAGATATCCTGTCCATGCCAGACGCTTGGGGCATGACTTACAATACTCTGTAGTGTTACTTAACTGGTGGCATTACAGACAATCATAAGGGGCATGGTGCCTAAATATCTG